CATAGCACGAGTAACATTGAGTTCACCATCCAGCCTTGTTAGCAATTTGCTTCCCATTGCTGATGTTGAGGCAGTTTCACCCCCTTTCTTGGAGTTAGAGGAATCATCTTTTTTGTCCTGATCACTGGCAGCTTCTTTTGCAGTGTTCTTGATCGCTAACGCGAGCAAAGGGTTTCCACCGGCCTTAGGAGCAAGAGTGCCTACAGTGCTGGTGCCTAAGCCTCCAGCCGCACCTGCAGCTGCGGTAGCGGTGAGACCTGCAGCTGCCTTCAGTCGTTTCTCACTCTCTTTGTTCCGATATGGATACGGATTGAGAGGGTTTTGAAGTTCAGGGATGCGTATCGTCAATTCTTCGAGAATTTCCGATTTGTCCAAGGTCAACGTTGCAAGCGAGAGCGCGCTAGAAAGACGCGTCCATGATTTGCTAGGTATGGAACCAATAGATATTCGGGCAGGAGTGGATGTATATCCTCGACTATTTAATTGGTTTGACGAGGTGTTTGCAATTGTTGTGGATGTTGACGGCAAAAAAGCCGCCATTTGTGGGATTTAGTTGATTGTATGGAGCAGCTATTATCCAAGTTTCCCTTGAAATTTGACTTTCGAGTTGTCACCGACAGGATAGCTGGTCTGTAATGTGAGAGTCGGGACGAACTTTTTGAATTCATATGTACACTATGGGTGACGCCTATCAATATTGCTGGACAATACTAAAAACTATGTAAGATGAATTGCTCTACACTTGTCATGGCGATATACTAGGTGCTGGACCTCCCTTTCAAGCCGAGCCAACGCTTTCCAGAAACAATACACGATAAAGTTATGAGCGTGATAGTAGACACGATTATCGTCATTACACCAAGATGTACTCGTGCTAAGTTACATAAACTGTTATCAGACGCGTCCTGGAACCATATGGAGTAATTCCGGCTTGTTGAAACGTGCAACCAACTGCGAAGGACTAGCTTGGCCTTAAAGTATACGATACAACTCTATTCAAATGGACCCATTGGAATGGTAGAGAGCAAAAAAAAATTAATTATATCTTTCAGATGATGTTTTCTGGGTAACCGTTCGAACCCAGGGCCATCATGGTCGGGAAACGGGAATGGTGCCGCCAGCCGGCCATTTTTAGCTGGATACCATCCTTCACTATTTCACAAGAGAGTATAGTTTCCTTTTTCTTTGAGGCATGTCCAGATTTAAGATGGGCTGGCTGGCAGACAAACCTAGCCGGAACCCACATAATTATAAAGCAAGGACATTTGGCCGTGTACCACGAGATTGTTAGTGGCCTTGTTATCGAGCCGATTACAGCTGGCACCTGAAACATATTTACAACAAGCACAGTAGCAGCGGTGAACGTCTCAATAGCGCTGAGGGCCTTGCTTCTTTCGCAGATTACTCCCACCAGGCTTGACGTGAGATTGTCCGCGAGGTCGCTACTCTGTTTCAAACTCCCCCAACATCAGGATACTGTTATTAAAAGTGGTATATCGGGTCGTAGTTAGATATCGTACGTTCTATCCCCTTTCATATCGCCAATCAGGCCATTTCGCCTATAAGCTCATACAGAAACCCCTACGCCATTCATAGCACGCCCTCGTTTTTATCAGAACCTCACCGGAAATTCTACAGTCCGAGAGCTGGTAATTAAGCAAGATCTTATTGGAAAGGAATGCCAATAGAATACGTCTATGCGTTACACGACTTTGAGCCGTTGAACGACGACGAGATAGCCTTCGTCGCCGGGGAGAGGATAGAAGTCTTGGAGAGAGATGACGCTTATGGTGATGGATGGTGGACGGTCAGTGATCTTTCTCTCAATTCCGAGACTGGTTATGCCTCAAGTTTTTGGAAAGGCTGCAATGCTGATATGTCCTTCCCACCTTAGGGTCGCAATCTTGCCGGACACGAAGGGATCTTCCCTAGGGATTATACTACCCCAGCGGGCCCTCTTATCCCTGAACTGAGGACGCCTGGCGGCACTGCTGTACAAGAACTAGGGCCTCCAGGGCATTCGACTTCCAGTTTTCACTCGGGCAATTATGGAAGCGTTCTACATCCATTGACAGAAGAGAATGAATCCGACACTGCCCTTGGTCCCTCGAATGGAAGACTCAACGATCCCTCCAACTATCAAAAGACAAATAACCTCGCGAATGGAGGTGGTCAGGTCATGGCTGCTACGATGACCGATATACAGCACGCCATTGATCAGTTGGGAGTGAAGCGCTCCTATTCTACTTTGACAGATGATAGAATGACCGATGACAGAAGAAGCGTCTCCTTCGTCTCCACGAGAGATGACCGAACCAGTATCTATGACCACGAAGGGAGGCTCGATGAGGGTAGGAGAGACAGTATGTATGAAGGAGAAGATGGGATGGATGTTACTCCTGGTGGAAACACCAACAGAGTTACCCTGAACGAGGAGTGGCACCGAAATGCCAGAAGAAGACTTTTTGAGAAGGTGGACGAAATGGATGCTGAAGCACGCCGAAAAGCGGAGGAAGAGGAAGCAGCATATACAAACAACTACCATCGACCACCTGTTGAGGTCGAATTCAGTGATGAAAGTGAGGATGAAGATGGTCACCATCACCATCATCACAATGCACCTCCCAACGACCTCCTAAGCCGGATACAGCACAAGCATGACGATTCAATACCCTCTACATTGCCATCTACCTTTATAGGAGATCATTCGACCACATCCCTACCATTCGTGAAGGATGATGGCACTGAGAATGTTGGTGTACCAAGTGCCGCTGTAAATGGGCGACACCTCACGGACAGTCCGGCAAAAGCTGATAGTCCAACACTTGCAATCAGCAGGCACGAAACCCTAGAATCTAACAGAATCGACTTATCCACTTCTCCTCCCGACGCTGAAGCTCAAGACAAGCGGTCAATTACCCCAGTCCCATCTAAGAAGAGTGACGATCCCCTTCAGAAAGCCAAGGATTTGTCGATACCCAACATTGGCAAGCCCCCAAATGAGCCCATGGAAGCGAAGCGAGATTCTCCTGAGTTCCTTCCGAACTTTGCACCAACGTCACCATTTGATCCTTCTCCATTCGCCCCGACCATACCTGGTACTGCTGACTCTCGAACCCAGGGAGATTATCCGATTTCATCATCCACAATCTACCCTGCCACACAGGCTTCTCGGGATGCCTCTCCTTCGCAGCCAGTATCAAAGTCGCCTTCATATATTTCATTTCTTCCATCCCCCACAGCTGCTACATTTGCCCATGCTCCAGGCGGAAATATGGACCAGCCTCCCGTCTCGAGTGAAGGATTTTCTCAATCTCAATCTCAAAGCAGTGTCCCGGAGAAAGTGATTAACGAAGTTGACCACTCTGTTCGTGCCAACGACGTAATTTCTTCACAGGCCAGGCAACCAATCGGGCAAACGGCTGTCGTTCCTTTGACTACTTCTGGATCCCTCCTACCACCATCCAGCAATGTACCATCTTCCCAGGCGTCCCCACAGAGTACCAAGAAAGTGCCAGTATCCGAGTGGACCGTAGATCAAGTTGTAGACTGGATCAGAAGTAAAGGTTTCGACGAAGGCATTTGTAAAAAATTTATCGGTGAGTATTCCAATGAATTATGTCCACTCTTAATAATGACTGTTCGTATAGAGCACGAGATTACAGGAGACGTCTTGTTAGAATTCGATGCCAATATGCTGAAAGAGATTGACATCGTTGCATTTGGCAAGAGGGTCAAGATAGCCAATGCTATCAACGAACTACGCAGACCACCCTCCTTTGAATCTTCTGATGCTGCCTCTCTTAAACCATCCGTCTCTCAATTTTCCATGGTCGGAAACCAGTCTACATATTCTAGCGTCCCTCAGTCCGTCTCGGTACCACAATTGGCTGCAGCTCCAGGACATGGTCATTCTTTAAGTCACAGTACCCGAGTCTACTCTGGTATGCGTGTGGGGAACATTGCTCGCCTAAACCCATAGTCAGCCTAGTCTTTCAAATTGTATGGAATACATACCCGTTGCGGTTCTGGCGTGCCATTATAGCTATTGAGCA